AAGAAAAAAACATTTCTAAAAGAAAAAGTAAAGCGATTATTTCTCTAGGAAAATGGAAAACAACAATATAATATGCAGTGAATTTAAAAGAAACATTCAATAATATAAAAACACAAAAATGCTTGGGTTTCTTGCTTTCAAAAAGCATCCCCGCAAACAAAAAAAAAAAAACAAATATTAAAAGTCTTTGTTTTGTCATCTTTCTTTGTCACATGACTTTCCATTGAGAAAATTTAGGCTCCAAAGTAAATGGAACGCCACTTAAACTAAATTAAAACTTGAAATTTATCCGAAGTCGAAGACTGAAATTTTTTCTAACTACAAAGTGCAAGAATTTGCGATTCAGATAAAATTTCAGTTAACATTAAGAATTGTCAAGTAAAACCACTGCTTTAATTGTTTTAAAAGAAAATCTGAATTTCTATAGTAGAAATCTCACAGTACAAGGCTCGAGAGCCTCTCGTTGTAGAGGGTTCCTATTAAAATGAAAATGATGAATGAATTTAAGAATTTGAGGATAAGTAGGATATATAACGATTGAATCTCGTCTTGAAGAGATTAAGATTCTAGTTCTAGATTAAGATTCTAGTTCTAGATTAAGATTCTAGTTCTAGATTAAGATTCAAGTTCTAGTTTGGGAGGAAAAGCTCTCTAAGTGTAGCTTATCTTTATACATGTAGAAAACGGAGGAAATGAGAGTGATTCGATTCCATGGAAGTTCTCCTAGCTATTAACATCTGAACTGCCAGAGCTAAGGAATGGAACTCTTTTGAATATTTACCACAGATATAGAGACAAAGTTGCGTGCACCTTGCAGCATCTTTGGGGGAGCAGCAGCAAAAGAGAGAATAATCCTTTTCTCACAAGGTCGAGGTTCATAAAAACAAAACAAAACAAAACAAAAAAAAAACTTCCCGCCTTTCTCTGAACATGTCGATGTTTGGTCATTTGTTCATATTTTTAGGAAATAGCTCGTTGTGACAACTTTGCTGCACCCACAACCTGCTTAATTTAAAGATTAAGCTTGTTTTCACGTTCTTTAGAAACGGTCTGCCTGATACGTCATATCCTAGCAAATTGCATGCTTATGGATGCATTTCGTTTCTGTGTGTAAACATATGTGACATTGATAAAGCCATATCTGAATACTGCTGTTCATGCATGCGTCATTTACTTTAATTAATGAAGCATGCAGGCACAGAATCAGATAAGGTTATGTCAGTTCTTGCTGTGGGTTTGAATGTGACTGCATTTCTGAATCAGTATCTAAATGCAAATGTGTGAATGTGGTGAATATTGATGTAAGGACATGAAAGAATATTAGATTGATAGCTTCAGTCTGGTCGAAGGAGAATAACGAAAGAACAGAAAGAGACGCGAATAACCGGAATCCGATAAAACGACAAAAAGACAAAATTGACAAAACTAGACAGCTTTTTAATTCAAAGTATTTTGAAACATTTTTACTAGTTATGGACATGCATGATACACACTTAGGCGATCATGTATAACTGACGAGGCAGACTTTTCTTTCTGCGGTAGACCAGATGCCATGCAAGTCTATAGAAGTGCTCTATCCTGCTATTTACCTATAGCTAGGGGAGTGAATTCATACCTTTCCCAAGGTTATTAGCGCGTAAGTGAATGAAACGGATTCGACTGGAATACGAACTCGGCTCTCCGATTCCTCAATCCCAGCTGCTATCCATTACTCCACCGTAAAATGAAGATAAGTATGTCATATGTTTCCTCAATCTGTGGACTTTCAGCTCGAGAACCACTATTCCATTGAGAGACTAGCTCGTAAACATATCTTAACAAGATTTTCTATTTTTGGGGGTATGACGATGAACTACATCCGGCAGCAAAGTCTCTGAACGGAAGGTTTTAAGGAGCGTGGGACCACCTCTTAAGCACAGTTGTTCCCAGGTCTATCTTGACCCAGGTAGGTTAGGGTTCCAGCTATGGGCAAATAGTGAACCCCTAAACTGGGATCAAAACATGAAAATATAAAAATAAATTAGAAAAAAATAACCAGCAATAAATTTTCATAGTAAAAATTAAATTAAAAATACCAGTAATACATTATTGAACAAAAACTAACAGTAATACTTATTTGGAGAAAAATAGCAAACGTCACAAGAAAATCAAATTTCAGAATTGCTAATCGCAGAGTTCCAATTCCAATTGGGTTTGTTATATTCAATTACGTGCAAATACCCTTCGGAAAAGTATGAATCCATCTCTTAGCACACGAGCTATGTGTTAATTAGTAAAACTTGTATCAGTAACTCATTAGTATCTCAAAAAAATATTCTTACAATCTAAGAATAATTCCTGGCTTTAAATAACCCATAATATGTCGATTAGCCGTAGAAATCGAATAAATCAATACGGCTATATATAACTGATACATTTACGAGTGATTTGTTTGCCATACGTGACATGCCTAAACACATTCTGGATAATCCATTTATGTCTATTATGGACTAAGATAGACATGAAGAGATTGAGATATATATGAATGGTCTATGATAGATAGATAGATAGATAGATAGATAGATAGATAGATAGGAAGGAATAAACTAGGATACATAATGTTGCGTTGCAGCTTAGACCAGACACCAAGCTTGTAGCATAAAACTTACCCTTCGGCTAAATCGTTACCCACGAGTGAAGAACAAAACAATATCAAGCAATAAATCAGATTTTATTCTTGGGTTGTAACCTACTGCTATAAGGGGGGCGAGATGAGGCGTGAGTGAGTGGGGAGGGACACAGTTCAACGGCCGTCTACGCTGTCCGTTTTGCGAGTCCCGCTTCGTTCCTTCTGTGAGCCTTTTATACGTGATGGTCAGTTTTATCGATCAACATTTTGTTTCTTGCCATCTAAAAAAGTAATCAATCCTCTTCCTTCCATGACATTCTCTCAGTCTGAGCCTCTTGCTCTGTCCTTTGAAGTTTACTTCCCCTACTGATAACCATTGATCAAAAGTAAATGTTCCGTATCGACTTTTGCAACAGGTTTCGCTATTTTTCAATTTAACAAGACTCATCTTGCTACGTCACATACATATTGAGAAGAGAATGCTAAGACATTGTTCTCTATTTCTCGTGTTACATTTCAGATTTCTTGAAAAGCTGAATTTTCATTACTTGCGACGATAGAGTTAAGTTTATATTGAAACATCCAAGGCTACACATACAATGAATTAACTTTCACAGTTATTAAGAATATGTCGCTATTCATTGACGGTACTAATAAATGAGTGTAACGATATCTTTGTAAAGAATAATAAGAATACAAGACTATTTCATACGTAAAATAATTGTTTATCACTTATTGACTTCATCAATTAATTTTGGCGTGAGAGTCTATGGTTTCGGAGATTTTCTTCGAAATTTGATCTCCTCTTGTATATGATAGAGACTTTATTTTTCCCTGTTGACTGAGATTCATATATAAATTCTTGCCATTTATTTGTCCTGCGTGGGCGCATCTTTATATATTGCAGTAGATATAAACATACCTTGAGTCCCGATTCTGTATCTGGTGGCTATGTGGATACCTCCCTGGTCAGCCCTAAGATCTTTTGATTAGAATTCTCTTAGGGTGAGTCCAGTATAGGATCAATTTCTCTTAGAACTACGTTCCTTATTGTCATTAAATTCCATTAAGACTTCTGCTATTGTTGGCCTGAATTATATAATACATTATTACAGCTATAAGAAACCAACCATTAACTGGGAGATAATCGCGAAAGCTAAAACAGACAGGGGAATAGGATACAGATGTAACTTGAGTTTGTTGGAGAAGCTTATTATATTAAAACACTTAAAGACCCTACTTTTTTGAACACGGGAAGCGAATTGATAGCTGCATGTATCCATTAAATCAAACATCTACCCAAACACATTGAACTCGATTAATATAAACTACAAAATACATTTTACGAATATTAATATATGTAAAACCTATTAATATTCATAGAACCCAACATTAGTAACATTTTTATATATCTATCCACATATATAATTCAATATTATAGATCGTAATTGATTGCTTTATGACGTGTGTATATGTAATTCCACCTAGGCTAGGTTCCAGATGCATTAGAGGTATAGTCTCAAACTATAATTATGTTAGCATTATGAAGCCTAAGTTTATTCTATAAGACAATTACTTTAATAATATAACGACGGTTCTTCATGCGAAAAATAGTTATCCTCTCGATATATAGCGTGTTCACGTAAATTCATTTTTTTTAATGATTTAAAATATTTTTTTTTACATTTTTCGTCTTTCGAACTCACGAATTCGAACGAGATAAATGATAAGTAATTAATTGTAATATTATAGGCAACAATAATAAAATGAACAAGTCTTAACACACAATTTTAAATCATCACCACAAGAAGGCGAATTTCATAACGCTCTAACAGTCAGCCGGTATTTCGCACCTGAAGATTCCACGTTTGCATGAAACTCCGAGTCGTGCTATCGACTATGGTTATTCTGTATATTCATTAATATATACTTAAGAACTGTGTTATATAACATTGAGCACAATTTTTATAACACCTGAAAAAGAAATATTTATGTACGTGCAAGTATATATATATATATATATAATATATATATATATATATATATATATATATATATATATATGTGTGTGTGTGTGTGTGTGTGTGTGTGTGTGTTTTGTCATATATATATATATATATATATATATATATATATATATATATATATATATATATATATGTCTGGGTGCTTATGTATTATAATCTGTGTTTGTATTGTTTTACGCGAGAGATTAGGACCCCATTCACGCACTTGGGATTAAAATGTATACATTTTGTCGGGTAGACCAGTTGACATTAGCGTCTATTCTAACGTAATTTCAATAAAGAAATAAATTAAATAACATATGAATTTTTCTTTCCTCCTCAGTAATTTTATAATTTTAAACTTGGTAATTTTTTATTTTTTATTTTAATATCAAATTTTATCATATAATTTAATACTTATTGGTTAGAATAATTCTTTTTTTTAAATATAACCCCAATTTAAAGCTCTGAATAGCTCTTATAACCTTACTTCGCTGTCAAGTTTTTTGAATTTTCTTATACTTGTGTATTCATTGGTAATTCTAGCTTTTGTAACAACGATTTTCCCTTGCGAAGGATCGTTGATTAATTTAAAATTTTTAAAACCATTTATTTTACATTCAACATCATCACTTGATAAGGCACCGGAGATGTTGAAACAAAATGGCTATTTTTGTAGTGATTTTATAATATATTTATGTTATAAGTTTTAAATAAATAATTTATATATATATATATATATATATATATATATATATATATATATATATGTTGTAGTAGAGTTATCAAAAACAACGGTATAAAAGCGGAATTGATTTAACAACAAGTTTATTTCCTTTTTGGTACAGGGAAACATAATGTAGAACAGAAACTAGGGAAGGGAATATTTAGCCGTGAATGATTGAATGTTTTCAGCAAAATCTACTGCCGCTGCTATCCATTCTGCTACTCCTCTTGATGTAGGAATATTTTTATTTAATTCGTCCGACGGCAGACTCCAAACCTGTAGGGAAATATTCTCCATCACACCATATATATATATATATATATATATATATATATATATATATATATATATATGTGTGTGTGTGTGTGTGTGTGTGTGTGTGTGTGTTATAAGCAGTTCCGAGACGGAAATACAAATTGAATCGAACTTTGTTTCACGAGATTATCACACCAGGACTGCACGTTTTCCATCGCATTTTATCGGGTAGTGTTGTGTCCATGCCAATTAGGAAAGTGTCAAGAGAATTTAATCATTTCTGGCATTATCCTTATATATTCCTGTGAATCTCAACCCTAACGACTGTGAGCCTGTATCCAGTATATTATTCAGCCCGTTTAAGCAAATAATCGCTTTCGTCTATTTTCTTTCACAGCATCATAAACCGATCTAAATATACGGAAATAAGTAATGTCCAATTATTCAAGACATGTCATGTTTTGTCGTGCAGTTCAGTAGCAACACATTCTTGAGGCGTGTTGAAAATATTGTTCAGCGAAAAGTAATGAACCCTTAGAGTCAAAACTGCAAAACAACATGGCCGGAGAGAAAGTAGAAAATAACAATTAAGGATGGTGTTCATGAACAGAGAGGAAAAAAAGGAAAAAAGATTGAAAAAATCTAACCTAAGAGTGACAGAATGCAGCAAATCTTTATGCACTTGACTATCTATCTATCTATCTATCTATCTATCTATCTATCTATCAGCGTTTGCTTATATCTATCTGAGTTTGTATCTATCTTTTAGAGTTGGTTTCTATCTATCTATCTATCTATCTATCTATCTATCTATCTCAGTTTGTTTGATATCTATCTATCTATCTATCTATCTATCTATTTATCAGTGTTTGCTTATATCTATCTGAGTTTGTATCTATCTTTTAGAGTTGGTTTCTATCTATCTATCTATCTATCTATCTATCTATCTATCTATCTATCTTAGTTTGTTTAATATCTATGTATCTATCTGCATCTATGAATGTCATTATCCTGTAAATATGATATCGTTATCTTCTGCCTTCTTAATTCCTGTTTTTTTCTTTTCTCTCTCTCTCTCTCTCTCTCCCTCTCTCTCTCCTTAATAGTGTTTTTTTTCATCATCTTTTCTAACACTCATTAACTACTTGCGTCTTAGTGGCTTCATTGGTTTGCTTGGGGTGAAATGATTAGAAGAAAAGAATATGTTGTCTAATGTGATGCTAGCAAAGATAAAGCATATCAGAAGAGTCTGTTACTTTTGAGTACAGTAGAACGAGCCGAACATTTTCCAGGTATCTTTAGTAATATATTATTAGTCCCAGTTCAGTTCTGGAGTAAAATTAAGACCCAACTGCCAGCGATTTAACGATATGGAATCATGTTAAAATCTGGATAATGCATGCGGAGACATTGAGAAACGCCAGATTTTAACTAATGAGGCCAGAATTAAGCAACAGGGAATAACAATGAATGAATAAGGAAGTTAAAAGATGTCGAAAATTCTTTTCGAATCAAAGGGTAAATCAGAATACTGTCCGGTACACTGCCTAGTCTCATGACCCAAATTCAGTCAGAGATCAATTAATGATGAGAGGGGAAGAGAACCCGCGGAATGTTCTCATAAAGTCCCTCTCTCACTAATAAAAAAAGAAGAAAAAAAAGATGAGAAGGGAAGTAATGCAGGCGTTAATTCACAAGGCTGAAGACCTGCGCATTCCACCACTTCCGGTAAAAAAGATTAGAAAAACCAGAGCTCGGAGCGGCCTCGCTTTGAAAAATCAGCCATGTCAAACACTTCTACTCACACGCCAACTGCAACCCAATACACGCAGGTAATTTCACTTATTTTTACCAAAAAGAATAGATTCACATACTAGGCTCAGAAAATTAACTCAGCAGACTAAACATAGATATTAACATTGATCCTGTAGATTCAATATATATTTAATGAATGCTTTCATTGCATTGGACGTCAATCAGTTATGTGCCATACGTGATAC